CTGATGCGATGAAGGTAAGTCCAAACCAGGAATGGACTTACGTACAACCAAGCCCACAAATCAGACATCTGTCACAGACACGTTAGTGTTACAACTATTTTAGAGACATTTCGAGGGAAGGCTTTAAGATCTGGATGATCGCATTGATGCTAGAAATCATCATATCATATCATCATGTTTATAACTTTAGAATTGATAAGCATACATTGTTGTTCAAATGGGATAACCGCACTACTCTTAATAAACTCGACATGACAGTTAACGACACTTTGGTCTAAAAGTACAATTTATTTTGGCAATATATTTAGACAGGACACATGGCTTGAGCTAAGAAGGTTCTTAAATTTATACTGGTTAGGAAAAATATACACATGTAGAACAGATAATGAAATTCGTCAGCAATACAGGGAGGACGTGTCCTTTGATCGGTCGGTTCATTACAACAACGACCGGTCTCTACAGGAAGTGTAGTATGATAGTGAAGTTGGAAGCAACAGATACGAAAGGTTGCATACTTGACTGACTGTATAGTAGTTAGCTTGAGTAGTGTTTCTAATTTCACTATGTCAGGATTGAATAAATTGGTGTTTAAATATTCTTTCGGTTGTAGAAAACAGCTATTTTTATCGTAATCTGAGCGTTGTTTCTTACATGTGTTCTTCCACAGTTATCTAAAATCTCTATAATAAGACACAGCCAAGTGTTTTCAGACAGGTTTTGGGTCATAATTTAATATCCCGTAGTTGTAGCTCATGTTTTACAGCTATATTGGGTCATCGTTACATTGTAGATTATGCCAGTAGCTTATTGCTTTCTTGAATATCGTTATCTTAAAGGGGAAGCATTAAAGTTATCCATATATCATGATTTCCGGCGTTGATGTTCGCAGGCCTGTTGCGATTCTGGGAAATGTCAGATTTCTATTAAATCAATATTTTCATATACCCAAACTTCACAGCCGTGCACAAGGATAGGTGATACCATCACATCCAAAGCTTTCAAAAAGGTAGATTGATATTTCGTTCCTTTTTAATCAGAGCATACATGGTTTTGTGGAGCCATTTACCAGTGTCTTGTTAGGAAGTTAACAATCTTCTATTTCTGTGAAAAACTATGCCGAGATACATGTATGTGTATGTAACGGTTCCTGGTTTATGTTTACCATAAAATAGTCTAACCATCTTATTGTGTTTTAGCTTACAATACCTCAAAAATAGCAATCTTTGTTGTCTTTAGATTCAATTTAAGTTTCCATGAAGTATAGTATTCATAGAAGCAACTGACTGACTTTTTAGAGATTGTGTTGACTGCTTGCTCAAATAACTATATCGTAAAGTAAGTTTATAGGCTGCAGAAGCAGCACAACATCATCATTGTACTCATAGCTCAGACTGACACATTCAGAGAGGAAACTTTCAAAGTAGAGAATATGAGAGGAGATGAATTCTCTCCTTGCCTAATTCCTAAATTACACATGAAATAATTTGAGATTGTAGCTACACGTGATTTGATATTGTACATATTTTTATCTAATCACAAGTAATTTCTCTCTGCATTATACAAAGCTAGTTTCTTCCCAAAGGCTATGCTCCAGACTTTATCGAACGCTTTTGAAAAAAATCTATATAAGCACAGAAAACCTTTGGTTTCGAAATTTGTTAAAGTTGTATCTAAATCCGATAATTATTTACATGTAGGTGGGTCACTTACTTTGTACAAAAGAGAGGGGAGGAGGAGGAGGAGAAGGTCATTCACATTGCACATGCTCCTCCATAAAATCTATATAAGCACAGAAAACCTTTGGTTTCCAAATTTTCCGAAGTTGTCTCTAAATCCGGTATGGACTAAATTAAAGAAAGAAAGATAATGTTGACCAATATTGGAGTGTCTCAAATATTCGTTAACAATAAGAGCATTACCTGATGACTCATTTCTTTTCAGTCTTTTGACAGCTGGGGCGGTGGGGTAGCCTAGTGGTTTAAGCGTTCGCTCGTCACGCCGAAGACCCGGGTTCGATTCCCCACATGGGTACAATGTGTGAAGCCCATTTCTGGTGTTCCCGGCCGTGAAATTGCTGGAATATTGCTGAAAGCGGCGTTAAACCATTCTCACTTACTCATTCACTCCCTGATACTATCATTGCAAACACTGTCTCTTCATAACCATTCTATCATGAACAGTTTTCAAAATGTTGTGGTCTGTCTTAAATATTGAAAACAGTCTATTGAATTGGGTATAACGTTGTATTATAGCATTTAGTTTTGACCGTTTTTTTACTTTCCGCGCACACGACGACGTGATAAAATGTTAAAAGCACAGCTACTTCTTAAACCATCGTGAAATTTACGCAGTTGTTAGTCTATGACCCAGGTAATATGACATACTCTGAACAACAGAAAGCGCCGGGGACTGTTTGCGTTGGTGACAGTTGAGATTTACTTCAAGGGCCCGGGCCTAGTGACGTCGGGTCACATTTATCTGTAAATAACTCTCCCTCAAGAGAGACAGGATCCTGCGTAAACACTAGTAGTTTATATTGTGCACACCTAATCTTCTTATATTTACACTTATATGATGTTTGAGTTTGTATCGTGCATGATATTTCACTCCCTTTCAAAAGATTAAGACTTTGGAAGTAGAATGTGGAATGAATTTCCAGGTGAAGTGAGGAAAAGCGTGTCACTGAATTCTTTTAAATCTAATATTGATATAAAACATAAAAGTGATCCACAATTCTTTGACTTTGGACAGATAAATGCTAATGTAATCCTTACAAAATTAAGTTACATGTGTAGTCAATTCCATTATGATCTATTCCGTGCTGGTATAAAAGATAACCCAAGTTGTTCTTGTGGAAATGTTTGTGAAAATTCTTATCATTACCTATTTGAGTGTCAATTATATATCCTGTACAGAGAACTGCCATGATGACTAATTTACGCAGTGTTTCTACATGAATATGAAAATTATGAGTTACTTTTACATGGCAATGCTGATCTGACTGTTCGCATAAATCAAAACATATTTATAATTGTTCAAACATATATTTGTCATATTCATGTAATTATTGCAATTGTTCCACTGTTTCCTATCTTTCTGTTCTTTTCTGTCCATTTGGAAGGAAGAATGTAAGTAATATTTATGTAAACACTACGGAGAGGGTGTTCTATGTTGTTTAAGTTGTACCCAATCCTTTTCTCGTGAATAAAGTAAGTTTAAAACAATGACAGAGTTTGTATCGCGCATCATCGAATGACGGGTATGTTATGAAGTAACTGCCTGCCATTTAAGGCCCCTTAATGATATTGACCCGTGAAGATCCGGGTTAAAATTGATCTTCAGTAACCCATGCTTGCTGTAAGAGGCAACTGAAGGGATCGGGTGGTCAGACCCGCTGACTTGGTTGACACGTGTCAACTGTGTAGATCGACGTTCATGCTGTTGACCACTGGATTGCGAGGTCCAGACTAGATGATTTACAGACCGCCGCCATATTGCTGGAATATTGCTGAGTGCGAGGTTAAACAACAAGCCAACCAACCAGCTGGAGTTCATCTCCAATTTGAGGAGCAGTCTGATCATGGTCAATTCAGTCGTTTGATGAAAAGTTCTTGTGTGCCAGTTGTCGCACTTTGCCGACAGCCATCAACGTTATTTGTAACATATGATATATTTGGGATTACACTTTCTCAGTAAAGTACAGATTCTGGTACTTTTGTTGGGTTGAGTCCCATCCAGGACTCGAACCCACACCCTCAGAGTCAGGCACCTAATCGCCAGCTCACAAAGTCAGTCCCCACGCTCAGCCACCGCCACTTCCACAAAAAGGAAGTCGGACAACTGGTAGTCTGGACTGCGGACTATGTGTTCCCCTCTGACAAGTATAAATTGCCACAGCTCCCGCGGCCGAAAGCTATGATTACAAAATGCCACTTAGAACGTGGCCAAATGTAACATACGTTATATTTGGAATTACACTTTCTTAGTAAAGTACATATTTGACCTCTTTCTAAATGGCATTGTGTAATGATCAACGTTATTTGTTTGTGACTGTAATCTATGCAACAGCTCGTACAACAATGTTCTGTCGTGCTCCACCTTCCAATACTAGTATGCCAATTGGACGTAGCCGTCCCGGACGTGAATGATGCCGCATGCTAAAATCTATTAATTGAATTTAAAACAATATCAGAATAACTTTTCAGTCTGATGTTATCACTGAAATGTACAGCAACGCTCGTTTCAGTGTAAATTTCGAATATAACACAAACCCTCTCCCACCCCAGCCTTTTTTCACGTGCCCAACATGTCTAACCCGGATCTTCACGGGTAGAACTTCACAGAGCTACAGCTAGAGTGATCATGAGTGGACATATGATTCGGATTCGGCAACACGGGAGGAGTGAGTGAGTGAGTTTAGTCAGCAATATTCAAGTAATATCACGGCGGGGACACCAGAAATAGGCTTCACACATTGTACCCATGTTGGGAATCGAACCCGGGTCTTCGGCGTGACGAGCGAACGCTTTAACCACTAGGCTACCCTACCGCCCCTCTTAAGTACTTACAGAGCGCAGCGTTAACCGTCAAATAAACAAAGAAACAAAAGATAGTATAAAGTTTTCAGTTGTTTGTAGGTTAAGTATATATAGTAGAAAGCAGACCAGTCTCTATTGTATATTAGCAGGATATGAAGTTCATCTCCAATATTGTTGGAGCGTCAAGATATACACATACGGTATTGGTATGGCGGCCACACCCAACTGCAAGTCTGATGTTAATACATCGAAACAATGTTATTACTTTCTTCTTATAATACAAAGTTCACTGGGTAAATATGTCACCATACAGTATATTGAAGTGTTATACACAGTGTTACTAACACTGGGTGACGTTTCTCGTAATCCATGGCATTGTTGATGGAAACATTCATAAAATCACTGTTTACCATAAATGGAGAGATTTCTTTGGAAGCATGATATTAAATAAACGTCTAGTGCTTGACATCTGTGGTGTCTGTTTATTTCCTTTTTTAAAACGTCTTGTTTTTTATCATACCACATTAGTGTTCTTGCATTCGTATCTGAAAGTTTGTTTGTTTTGTTCCCATCTTGATGAAACCTAATTGATTCTTCTGGGTTTCGTTTCCATATGTAAAAAGCCTTGTTTTAATCATACAACATTAGAGGTTTTTTGTGTACATGAAACCAAACAGCTCTCCGATCGAAAAGTTTTTCTTCAAGCTCTGATTTTTTCCATCTTGATGAAACCTAATTGATTTTTCTATTTTCGTTTCCTTAAAACTTCGTATTTTTGATCATGTGACGTCAGTATTATTTGTGTATGAATCCAAATGGCTCTCCTATCAGGAAGTTTTCTTCCCTTCGTCTGCTTTTCATTTCTTTATAAGCTGTCGGGATTCTTCTGATAGGAAACCAAATAGCTTTCTGATCGGGGCTTCTGATCTTCTTTGTCACCCTCCTTTCGCCAAATCGATGAAATTTCTTCAATTGTTCTGCCTTTTGTTTCTGGCAGGAACATGAACACGAATATCCAGAACAACACCAGCAGCACCGTGAAGGGCAGGAAGGAGTAGCTTATCAGACCTTTCTGGAAACGAAAACAAGAGACAGGAATTATGTGGAAATGTGCGACGAACGTGATGTCACCTGTTGAATTCCAGGTCTCGGTGTCACATCTGTCATGTTGGCTGTTCAAGAAAATGATATATTAGTCGCAACACTTGGCAATATTATAAATAGTGGTCAACCACTCCCAATGGGAACGCGGTGTAACCTAGTGGCGAAAGCCAGGCCGAAGGTTCGAGTTCGATTCCGCACATGCAAACAAACGGTGAGTGAGTGAGTTTAGTTTTACGCCGCACTCAGCAATATTCCAGCTATCTGGCGGCAGTCTGTATATAATCAAGTCTGGACCAGACAATCCAGGGATCAACAGCATGAACATCAATATACGCAACTGGGGTACGATGACATGTGTCAACCCAGTCAACCCGATCACGTTAGTAGCCTCTTACGACAAGCATGGGTTGCTGAAGGCCAATATTCTAACCCGGACCTTCACGGGTGCAAACAAACGGCCATGCAAGCCTTTCCATACATAATGCACACGTGTTTACTGTTTAAGTGGGGCGATGGGGTAGCCTAGTGGTTAAAACGTTTGCTCGTCTTGCCGAAGAGCCGGGTTCGACTCCCCACATGGTACAATATGTGAAGACCACGCATGCACGCACCCACAAACCCGCCCACCCAAAACCCACCAATGACTGTTATCATATGCCAACAAATGCTGAAGATATACTAAAACAGTTGGGCTGACAGAGTTTGCTTTCAATGTGTGACCAACAAATGAACAGTGAAATAACCCGTGAAGATCGTGTTAGAATATTGATCTTCAGCAACCCATGCTTGTGGTAAGAGGTGACGGACAGGATTGGGTGGTCAGGCTCGCTGACTTAGTTGACACATGTCAACGTATCCTAATTGCCTAGATTGATGCTGATGCTGTTGATCACTGGGTTGTCTGGTCCAGACTCTATTATCCACAGACCGCCGCCAAGTAGCTGCAATATTGCTGAGAGCGTCGTTAAAAAAAGAAAAAAACCGCATAAACAACAACATCCACAAAAAACAAAACAAAAAAACCCCCAAAACCAACAAACCTGCATGTGGGGAAAGCCATAACCAACACAGAAGTTGGCGACCCAGTTGACGAGGACAGACACGCTGATGGCGGATGATCTGGACCCCTGAGAGAACAACTCGGCCACTATCATCCAGGGTATGGAACCTACAAACAAAAATAAACAAATATATGCTTTGGTTGATAGTTTGTACAACACTGCAGGTGTCTCTTCATTACAGATGGTGCAAAGTTATTAGACCTGAACGTCAGTCGTGGTGTAGGTTTCAAGGAAGCCGCAACTTGAAGACATGGCGTAGGGTTCATTGGTCTGATGAAAGTTGTTTTTTTTGTACATTACATATAGCAGTTGTTGTGATGTCGTCCCACGGCATATCACAGTGAGGTGATCGATGCTGAACCCGTTGGAGAGGGTTGTTCAGTGATTGTGTGGATTGCGTTTCATATGACTGCAAATTGGAATGAGTGGCATTTGGGACGTACGATATTGAACAAACTTGAAGGATAACAACTTCTGTATTTCGTGAGTGCGATGTTTCGATCAGATTCTGGTACTGTTGTAAAGCGGGAATAATGCATGAATAGGAGGAGGCGAAACATCGCGACCGATCAAGACCCGAGTCAAAGAACATCGCACCTCCGTTACCAATTCCGACAGCAAAATCAGCCATCTCTGACCACATCAAAGCAATCCCCAGTCACCAAATCTACAAGAATCTGTATCGAAACGTCGCACTCACTAAATATAGAAGTTGTTATCCATAAAGTTTGTTCAATTTAGTACCTGGAACACTCAGTGGCCAGCGTTATCAACATAAGTACTGTATGCCGCCGTCATCACACATTTTGATACAAATCCCCTTGCCAGTGGTGAATATCATTGTTGACAACGCTTGACCTCACCGCTTTCGTTGACCATTTGCCGAACAAAACCTCATCAAAGCATTAACATTGTCGCAAATAGCCCCACTAACACACTAACATAACATACTAACATTTGGATAGCGCCAATATCCAACTGAGCTGCTCAAAGGCGCTTTGATTTCCCCTCGATCATTGGATGTCAAACTCACACGGCACGTCATATTATCAATGTCAACTCCCTGGGGATCATTCAACTCTTGCAGCCACAAGTCGCACAGAGGTAATGTGGCTTTTCCATCCTTACGAGGTACCCATTCACAGCTGGGTGGACTGGGGCACATAGTCAGAGTACTTTGTCGAAGTTAACTGCACGTTGCTGTACCCGGAACTAGGTGTTTGCATGTATTCATGTGGCCACCATCTGGTCATTTACCAACGGATTCACGGGTTCTTTTAAGTGCACAGTGTCTTCGACGCCAAGTTTGAGGTAGAGGTGCTCCTGTTCAGTATCTTAAGTAATTGACGCAGACACTACCTGAGGAATGGCAAAGGATTCCAAGAATTCGACCCGCGATTGTATCAGACGCAAACTGGCTTATGTTATGCAAAGGTAGTTACGCCAGGTTCTGCAAACCGAAACATGAGTCTCATGAACCAATTCTGACAATGACCTACTCCGAGTTTTCTCGTGTGAAAATGAAAAGAGACACTACAAACAACTATGGTATTTACAAATGAAGTTTAATTTTAAACTTTAAAAAATCGTATTTCTATATTTTATGGCGAGGTTTAGACAGCATGATGTAACTAAGACGTCACAGACTACCCTGTTTGATGAGGTCGTAAAATGATTCACAATTCATCTGGCTCACTGGTTACACCAGTTATGTGTTCTTTGCGCTTATTAAGTGTATTTATGTAACGTACAATGTGATTTGATATACTATCAAGGCCGTATAAGACCGCCAAAGCTTTCTAGCGGCCGTGCCTCGTTTTGAGATTTCCACGATTTCCAGATTTCCGTTTGTCTGAGCACGCTGTACGACAGAGCATGCTGCACGACGTGTTTGCTAGGATTAGAAGGGGCGTAGTGTTGCAATATACAAGTGATGAGATATATACCAAGTAATACTGATTAATATTCATATATCCAGTTGAATGAGTTGGTCTCAAAATTCTGGACTGGTTACTGAATTAAGTGACACCATAGGACGGAACCCAGTCAGCTGGAAATGAGACTGATGTGTAATCAATGTTTTGATTTGTATCATGGCTGCCAGTGGTGGTTCATACAATCACAACAATTATAATTAGGGAACTGTGAGACAGATGAGATTGTTGGCGTAGTCATGGCAACCATACTTTCAGCCATTGTCCATATTGACGTTTTTTGTGTATTCTCTTCAGATTGTTGCCAAATTTCAGTTTCAATTTCGTTTTTGTTTTGAGAAATATATTATACGGTTACCATCTTAATCGACGAAATTTTGTTTTCAAGGTGTACAGTACAACATGTAGAGTTTTCGTACTAATCATTTATACCGATTCCCAATTGCGCAGATCGATGCTCATGCTGTTGATCACTGGATTGTCTGATCCAGACTCGATTATTTACAGACCGCCGCCATATAGCTGAAATCTTGCTGAGTGCGGCGTAAAATAAACTCACTCACTCACTAACTCACAGAATTTGGCAGGTTCGTGAAACGGTGGTCATAAATTGTGTTAGGATCTTACTTTGAAAGCATTATGTAAAAATAGTGCTGTGCAGTTTATGACTTGGGGGTTGGGATTGCATCATTGTTATTGGGCCTTTGTAGACATTTTGTAGATGTTTGAAGTAATTGTCTCTATACCGCTGATATTAGTGATCAACATCGTGAGCATAGATCTACGAAATTGGGATACGATGGTATGTGTCAACTAAGTCAGCGCGCCTGACCATCCAATCACGTTAGTCGCCTCTTATAATTACGACATGGGTTGCTGAACACCAATTCTACCCCTGATCATCACGGGACACGTCATACGAAAGTACAATGGTATCCCTATGGAAGCTATAGTATATTTCTACACGGAAATCTCTCGTCATTTGAATAATTTAAGTATTTTCAAAACTTTCGATTTTTTTCTCGTTGTTTCGAATAACTTCTGCTTATTGGCATCAAGATCTTGGACACTGTGGCATCATTCACCAAATCAGCGACCATGGCTAGCCGATGCCTTTGAGTAGTGAGTAAGTGAGTTTGGTTTTAGCAACATTCAAGTAAAATCACGATAGGGGATATCAGAAATGGGCTTTACACATTGTACCCATGTGGGGAATCGAACCCGGTTCTTCGGCGTGACGAACGACCGCTTTAACCACTAGGCTACCCCACCGTCACGCCTTTGAGTAACTAAAACATTCTCACCTGGTCCTAAGGCGAAGAATACAACGAACATTAGGGCCATCGCGACGCTGGCACCATTGAACCATTGAACCTTGTCCTGAAGAAAAAAGCGACTTATAACACATCAGAGACAATAGGAATGGTAATTTCAGTGTTTTGTGTTTGCTTGTTTGTTTAACGAAGTCGTTCTGTAAAATATAAGTGTCTGGACCTGACAATCCAGTGACCGACATCATGAGTTGTGATTTGTTTTTAGGTCGCTTTTAACAAAATTCCAGCAATATCATGGCGGGGACACCAGAAATGACTGACTGAGTTTGGTTTTACGCCGCTTTTAGCATTATTCCAGCAACATCACGGCGGGGACACCAAAATGGGCTTCACACATTGTACGCATGTAGGGATTCGAACCCGGGTCTTCGGCGTGACGAGCCAACGCTTTAACCATTAGGCTACCCCACCGCCCCCTTCCACTGTAAATTTACTCCGTCTATTTGAATCAGTTTTGGGTATGATGTTTGTATGTGAATGCGAAAGTATGCAAAATAAATAATAATAAAAAAAACACTTGAAATTTCGAAAGAAAATATGCAAATGATTGAAGTCCGATAAATTTCGGTTTAAAATGATACACGTTATGACCGCAGTAAGAACTACGTGGTCGTGGGTGGCCATTTTACGTCGACTCATATGAAATTCACCTTGCACTATTGGGTATTTAAAAGCAAGTTAGAAGCGTAAGAGTGAATGAGTGAGTGAGTTGGTTTTTACGCCGCTGTTAGCAATATTCCAGCAATATCACGGCGGGGGACGCAAGAAATGGACTTCACACATTGTACCCATGTAGGAATCGAACTCGGGTCTTCGGCGTGACGAGCGAACGCTTTAACTACTAGGCTAAAATGATTACTGAAAATTACCGTAGACACCTGCTGTTCGCCAGGTAAACCTGCAATAGCACTCGATACTCAATTTCGAAAATCTGTTCGATTTCGAAAGTGTTTGCTGTCGCTTCCTGCCACGCTACACCGCCGCCGTGGTGTAGTGGTTAAAGCGTCCGCCCGGAGAGCGGAAGGTGGCGGGTTCGATACCCGGCCGCGTCATACCAAAAGACGTTAAAATATGGTACTTTGTTGGTCCCTGCCTGGCGCTCCGGCATTAATGGGTACAACAAGAACTGGTCAGCTCGGAGTCAGTTTAATGTGTCTTCTGAGTGGGGTATTCATGCTTCACTGCGGCATGGGTATCTCAGTCGGCTAGAGCTATAAAATCAGCTTAAGTCTGGGCTAAGTACAAGCAGCCACCCATACACACGCATACACGTCGTCAAATATTCTTAAGTGCGACGTTAAACCACATTTCACCTTACCTTCACCTCCTACTGCAACACGACGGCTGACCGTAAAAGACCAGCCAATCAAATGATGGACCAGAAATTGCATAAAATTAACGTATTTACTAATTTTGTTGAAAAAAAAGCCCCAACCCAATGTTATGTTTTAATTACCTCAGCTGTGCATAACTGCAAATAATCCGCCGCTTATAAACCAAGAAAAACAATAAATAATTATATCTCATAGTAAATAAAGAAACACAATCTCAAACTACCCGTTTGTCACTTACAGTGTCACTGATAATAATTACCAGATATACGTATTCCTTCATTGTTTGACTGATTGAATTGAATTTGAATATTTTCATTCAATGAGATTATTAATTGAGGTGTTTCCGTATCATTAATAACATATATTAGGAATAAAAATTGTATTATGGGAGCCTTTTGGCGAGCTTAATACATAATTTTATTCCTAATATATAATATTTATGACACGGAAACACAAGAGGTTAATAATATGTTTATCATATAATGTCATTCTTAAAATTACTCTAAAGAAGAAGCAAATCGTACGTGAATTTATATATGAAGAGAATCGAGCGTAAGAATACTTAGCGGTGCACCAAGGTGAAGGTCGTTCATGATGGCGGCATATGGTTGTGACTAGTCGCTAATACAGTGCAAACATAACTCATGCTTAAAATAAGATCTTTTGTCTAAAATGAACAACAAAATGGGGCAGGGTTTTCTTGAGAGTGTTACTATTTTCACTGCGGGTATTCACTTCATCAATATCAGTTCCTGATACCTGACGGAATCGATTCGTCGTCTGCTTTGTGGATCGATAGATCGAAATCCTTGGTTGGTACCTTTCTTAGACGATTGCCTTCAGGCGTGCCTCACAATCCGTACCTTCAATTTGAACGAAGTACTCCGTTTCATGTTTTCCAAAGTCAATTACTGCAGTAACGACTCCAGAACCTCTGTCATCAATTCTTACAGAATCACCAATTTTGAGAATGGGGGCAGCCATGTTTGTTTTACAAACAATGTAAACTCGCGACGACGTCATCAATGAAATGTTAAACGTTTTAGGATTCGCATGGCGTCTATGGAGTTTTGCCAAAGTAGTTCGTGGATTGATGTAATTTGTATTTTGATACCAAGTTTTGCAGATTGCTTTTATTGCACTGATAACACCCTCCATTAGATGATAATATTGCACTGATAACACCCTCCATTAGATGATAATATAGTTTATTTTTTGGACTTTCGTTGTTCAAAATGTCAGTCACTGGTTTGTACAGTCAATATTGTTTATTTACAAGCAGCTTAACTTCTGAACATTGCAAACTCATAGAGGTTGCACAACAAATAAAAATATATCTAACAACATTGCATTCTTTTGTTACTCACCAAAGCGAGAGGCATACTGTTATCAATATGCTAAAACAGTCATTCCGCCTAGACCAATCAGATGCAGAGTTCGTCGACCAACCCGGTCCATGGAGTGGAATCGTCATCAGTGTCATGACAACCATGATAGCTCCCACCCCGCTCGTGGCGTGTGTGGCGGTGGATTCATCTAGCCCCGCCCCTTTGAAGAGATTCCCGAAATAGTAGACGATCTGTAATAGAGAGCTGTTGGGTAGGCAAAGAAAACAAGCAGGGGTAGGGTTCCCAAACGAAAGAATATGCTGAAACGATCAGCCTAATGTCCCATATATACTCTGCGGGTTAGAGATCTAGATTCATGTTGGACCAAACTAGAGTTGCATGACATCACCAACCACACGTGGAGGATGGGGACTAGCATTGTCGTCCGTGGACACGTGCCTTGTGTTCAGATGAGGTCATCAAAATGTGGTCCAACAACCCCTGTGAAGGATACCAGTGATGTGCCTTTTCCAGTTAGAATTTGTGTGATCATCACAAGTTTACAGATGTCAGTTGAGGAGGCCCCATTGTGCTTATATAAAAACGGAATCAATTAATTTTCCAATTATTTTTCGAGCTGTAAGAACCGTTTACTTATACTTTATAGTTCCTTATAACGGGTACACGTGTTCCACTTGATGCTCGCCTCTGGTCGTAGCACGTGCATATATAAAACATAATGTGTAGTGCGCCCGAAGACTCAAAATAACCATACAAGCATAAATATGACATGAATCTAAATGGCGGTGTGGAGGTTAAATGCCATAGGCGTTGCGATACTTTTTTCCATGTGTATACATGCACGTTCTAAACAGTCCATGATTGTATGAAGAGACAATTAAATAAATCGGGTTGTACTTTTCACAACAAACCCGATGATAGCGTGGATTAATCACTGGATTGTCTGGTCCAGACATGATTATTTCATTGAGGTCGTCATATTGCTGGAATATTGCGGCATGCGGCGTTAAACAAACAAATAAACGAATTTGCATAACACACGTCGTATCTCCTTTGACTGGGTCGATTCCCGTAATGTACTGTAATGTTTTTATCCAAATTGTATCAAATTAAATGCTGCTGAGAACATTTGTTAAACAATTCAACAACACCCGCGTGACTTACCACATTTATACCCGAGAGTTGCTGCGAGAGGTGCATGACGATACTGATGATTAGGGGCGCAGAATCGCTCCTGCACAAACATCATGGCGCTTATCTGAAGTACAGAAATGGCCCTGGTGAATATGTTTCCTTTGTTACAGAAGCACGTATTTGGCCATCATTTGTACATCAAAAACGCTTTGATCACGTTTATGGACATATATGCGGACCGCCTCCGTGGTGTAGTGGTTAGAGCGTCCGCCCGGAGAGCGGAAGGTCGCGGGTCTGATCCCCGACCGCGTCATACCAAAAGACGTTAAAATATGGTACTTGCTGGTCCCTGCCTGGCGCTCGGCATTATGGGTACAACAAGGACTGGTCGGCTCGGAGTCAGTATAATGTGTCTGAGTGGGGTATTCATGCTTCAACTGCGGCATGGTATCTCAGTGGGCTAGCACTATAAAACCAGCTTAAGTCTGGGCTATAGTACAAGCAGCCGCACATACACATATACACGCATGCACGTCGTCATATGAGCGAAATATTCTCAAGCACGACGTTAAATCCAATTTCACCCTCACCTCACATATATGCGCATTTTATTTGTTGTACGTTGAAATCCATAGAGACCTATCTTTATTGTGATACCATCCGAACTGCGCAAGTCGATTCCTCATATTATCAATCACTTGATTGTCTGGTCCAAACTTCAGAATCATACAGACCATCGTCACATAGATGGCATATTGCTGAGTGTGACGTTAAGTTACAAATAAAACTTTACTTTCGTACGACATTTTAATGTAATTGGGTGATGTTTTGTTTAACATATGCCATATTTAGGGGATCCGTGAAGATCCGGGTTAAAATTGATCTTCAGTAACCCATGCTTGTAGTGAAAGGCGACTAACGGGATCGGGTGGTCAGGCTCGCTGACTTTGGTTGACACATGCCATCGTATCCCAATTGCGTAGATCGATGTATGTTATGCAGTTGATCCTTGGATTGTCTGGCCCTGATCCGATTATTTACAGAACGCCGCCATATAGCTGAATATTGCTTGAGTGCGCTGTAAACTAAACTCACTCACTCACACATATTTGGGATTAATTTTCTTAGTCAAGTAGAAATTGAGTCCCAACCGCGGTGGGAGCCATTTTATGGAAGCCTGGGAGCTGAGTGGGTTAGATGGCTGGCTTTAGTGTGCTGGCGATTCTATG